CCATTAAAACACCAACATTCACCTACATTAACATTAGGTGTTATAATCATTTCAGGTTTATTTGATTTTATTACATTCCTTTGAGTTAACATTCCCCATAATTTTTGATACCCTTTACTTGGCCATTCTTCGTAAGCACGTGAGGTTAGATGAGGAATTATTCGACCACCTCCTGAATATAATGCATAATCTGTACTAATTCCATCCATCATTTTGGAAAGTTGTTCATGAAGAACCTAAATAAATAAATATATATATATAATAATAATAATAATAATAATAATAAATAATTTATTTTATGTTATGTCAATTATATTAAATCAACGCGACAGGAATGTTAAAAGATTTACCTCATTTAATTGTTTCCTTACTAATCTTACTAATCCATTATTATTGTTGTTATTGATGTTGTTGTTGTTGTTAATAGAATTTAAATAATTATTAGAATTAATATCACCAGAAGCAATTCGTGACATTTCATGCTCAATAAATTCTTTAACTTGAAATTTTAATTCTTCATCTAATTTTCCATTATCTAATATTTTGTAAATTTTCTGTCGCCGTATATTATTATTATTATTGTTGTTGTTGTTATTGTTGTTTTTGTTGTGGATGATAATTTTGATAATTTTGGTAAATTTGATGATGATGATGATGATAATGATTTAGATATATTTTGTCCAAATTATATTAGTAGACAAAATTCAAATCTTTATTCCAACAACAACAATAACAATAACAATAATGATAACAACAATAACAATAACAACATGATTAATCATTATGATAACAATAACAACATGATTAATCATTATGATAACAATAACAACATGATTAACCATTATGATAACAATAACAACAAGGTTAATCATTATGATAACAATCATAATGGTAACAAAAAGAATATCAAGAAGAATTTGAATAATTTAAAGAATAACTTAGTGAAAAGATCAAAAAGAACAACTTCAATGTTATTCAATTCTTTCATGGATAAAGATATTCATATTAAAAATGAATTTGGGTCATCATCATCTTCATCTTCTTTATTAATTAATCCCCATAATTCAAATTCTTTAGGAGAACTACTTAATGGATCAATAG